AAAGTATATTAGAAAGAATTCAACTTCCTTCTATGTATCCTATATGTAAACCAATTCTATGAAAGACAGTTTGCCAGAAGAAGCTGAAATGACACTTGTGGCGGAATTTTAAAGGGAATTTGTGTATTGTGTGTGTGTGCGGGAGAGGGACACACACACGTGGAGGTCAGAAGTCAACACAGGGTTGGTCCTCTTCCCACTGTGTGGGTCGTGGGGACTGAACTCATCAACAAAGTATCTTTATTCACAGAGCCTTCTTGCTAGCACTGCAACTGAGTTTATCACAAGTAAAAAGCTGAAGTGAGAATCAAAAGGATAAAGTTCCCTTCCCACAAAAGATTTACAAAATCATAACACAAACCTGTGGGGTTAGAGCCATTTCAAAATTACTGTCAGCTGCCTGCGTCCTTCCACAGTAAGAGAGGAACCAGATGACTTTTACCATTTCTCATTTTCTCCCTGTGTGACCTTCAAGGCTTGATTTTGTTGTTTGTTGTTGTCATGTTAGTCTGTTTGCTAGGGTCTGAAACACACTGGCTCTGAGTGACCACAGCTGCTTTAATGGGCGCTTCATGTTCTCAGGTTCACGTGGACCTTGGCCTTTGTCACTGCTTCTGCTATCAGGTTTTTATTTATGCCCACTTGGATATGAAGGAAGGGCCTGAGGGATTTTTCATTGCTAACTTAAAGGAGCCTGGCTTCTACCTTTAAATGCAGTGCACCTTGGCTGGGTATAATACTCTTGGCTCATATATTTTTGTCCTGTACCTTTGCGGCCTTTGCACAATTTGGGAGTCCATGAAAAAAGGCATGGGGAGCTACAGCCTTGTCTTGGAGTAGGGCATAGCTTGACTGCTGTTTTGTTTGTATGCACAGTCTTCTACATCGCAGGCTGGCCATGAACTAACTTACTATGTAACTGTGGAGAACCTTCAACATATGATCCTTCTCTTCCCGCTGCTTGAGTGCAGGAGATACAGTTGTGTCCCACTATGAGGGGTCAAACTTAGGGCTTCTGGAGTGCTAGGAAGCCCTCTACCAACTGAGCTGTGTTCCTGGCTTCAGTGGATTGACTGTTATGCACAAAACTTTAATTGTCAAAATTAAAAATCTTCCTCAAGATATGTCTTAGTGTCAGAAGGTCTGAAAATCTACTCTGACAAAAAGAGAGTGCTATTTAAATATATACATTTAGTTCTTTCGTTTTAGAGAAACACTTCTACAATACATTTGGATACCTTTTCTATTTCCATTCATCAGTTTCTCAGTTAAGGAATGTCAACAGTAGATTATCTTTATTCTCTGTATCATTTGCCATTTCCGTTATCTGCCATCCTTTCCTTCTGTTTACTGTAAGGACCTCGGTGTAGTTAGAACAGTTTCTATGTGTCAGTCAGTCTGTCCTTCAGCTCTCGTCTGGGAAGATGTTTATCTTGCTTTCATTGTGATTTATGTGCATAAAAATTTTAAAACATGCTCTGTCATTGCCCTGTGCCTTGGGAGAGACATTGGGAGGAAACAAGAAAAGGTTTGAATAACTTCACAGGTTCGCCCAACATGCATTCTCCTGTAGGTCTGGAAAGCCGTTCTGTGTCTATCTCATGCCCCAGTCCCAATGGACATATAAACATACCTGGGGTTTTCTCTATCTCTTTTTGTTTTCCATTCGTAATTTTCAGAGACTCCTTTTCCTGAAAGATGGTGGTAGGTCTCTAATAAAGGTCTGTTCACAGAAATCTTTCACCTGGAGCAGTAATTCTTTTTTTTATTAAACCATAAGTTCTCCCTTCATGACGACGACTGGTCATCAAGTACAGTGTATGAAGGCACCATAAGGACAACTGCCAGGGTCCAGTCAGGAAAACACAAGTCACACCAGCCATGTAGCAGAACAGATTTATGCATGGAAGAGACCGATTACACAGCCAAACAACAGTCCTTTATATGACAAAAGAGTACAAGCACCTAAGAAGGTGGCTTAGAAAGCCTGCTAAAATCAGACATGGCAGATAGAGAACTAGGCACCAGCAGGGCATTCTGTGGGTTAGGAGAAAAGAGGAGGCAGGGGCTGCAGAACTGAGGCTGAGCCACACAGTAAAGAGCAGGCCATGAGTTGGACAGTGGATAATATCCACAATGGATAATATCCACAAGATGTTGCAGAAACAGAGGGAGAGGATGGCAGGAAGAACCTTAGGTTACCTTTCCCTGTTCTTTAGTCTTTTATCATCATTCCACCAGTCAGGTCTATCTGGACCACGGAGGGCTAGCCACCTAGGTCTTTCCACACCTGCTAATCAAACAGTGGTCACCTAGGTAAAAAAAAAAAAAAAAAAAAAAAAAAAAAAAAATTGGGTTTTAATAAAAAGCCTTCTGGTGTCTTGGGTTAGTAAGAAATCACTCATTTGAGAATCATCTAATGACTTTGTTGCAGGAATCCTGGTTTTTGCTCTGTTTGGAAGTTTACAGGTCTGATTTATATTGGATTCAGAGTTGAGACTTTATCTTGAGAGTGTTTCTTCTGTAAGTTCATTATTGCCACTGTTTCTGTCCCCTCCTTTAGAACAATTAGATAATTATGTCCTATGGTGAAATTCCCATATTTATTCATATTTTCCATATGAAGTATTCATCCTAGGGGGCTGGAGAGATTACCTGTCAGTTAAGAGTACTTGCTGCTCTTGCAAAGGACTCAAATTTGCTTCCAAGCTCTCAGATGGTGGCCACCAACCACCTGTAACTCCAGTTCCGTGGGACCCAGTGCCTTCTGTGACCTCCACAGGCACACTAGACACAAAAGTAAACTTAAAACAATAAAAAAGAAAAACCTTTAAAGGTTGACTCTGCTTTTCTAGATGTACCCCTTTAAAGGTAATTAAGGCGGGGGATGGACTTAAGGATACTTACTCATCAGTTGGTTTGAGGATGGCATGAGCTCAGGTTAGCTAGATGGACCTCAGGTGATCAAAGCAGTGTTCTCCCTTGGTGCTAGAGACCAAACCTTGGGCCTTGTACACACAGGAAAGAACATCTCTGAGCTGTCCCACCAGCCCTATCACAGGAGCCTTTACAGGTGAAGACAGGGGATAGACAGGTCCAGTCATGTACTGTGAGGACATGACCCAAGGTTGCTGGTTTTGAAGACAAGAGAAATGGTCTTTCAAGTCAAGGGAAGTAGTTGCCTATGGGAAGCAGTGGAGAAAGGCCAGGAAACGAAATCCCGCTGAGGCCCCAGAAAGAAAGTCAGCCTTGCTTCTATCCCAGCTTAGCCCAATGAACTTCACTGTGGATGTTAGGCATGCGTAGTTACGAGGTAATATTACACCTCTTCACTTAAGCCACTCAACTTAGGAAGATTTGTTAGAGCAGTAACAGGAAGCAAATACCATAAGGTCATCACCCATTGAGCCCTTCTCCCGAAGAAAACAGGCAAGGATGATCCAGTCAGAGTTACTGCCAACATCACTGTTAATGAGTGAGCCAACTCTCAAGTTTGGGCAGAATGAACTTCCTGTACCTTTCCATGTACAATTTGAACTGCTCTAAGAGAGTAGCTTAATGCTCAGAGAAAATCTGTGTGGGAGTGAGTAGTGACTTGAGTGAGCCACGTTTTTTCCAACTCTCAGAGTCCCCAGTAGCTGTCTGTATTCCAACAGAAGAGAGGGTACCTAGAGCTTCATGAGTACAATGAATCTCTCTCCAACTTTTAAAAACATCGGTTCAACTGTGGCCAAGTGCCGAGCATCTGGGAGGCCAACACAGACCTCTCAGAATGTGGGCACGTGAAGTTCTGCGAGTGCTTTAATTTCTGGTCCCTCCCAATAGAGCACTGTTGGCTTACACCTCTTGCAGTTCCGGAGCCTTGAAGTCCAAGATCAAGATCTGGCGGAACTGACTTCAGTAGAGATGTCTCTGTGGCTCATAGTGCTGTCTTCTGCCCACACTATCTTCATCTCATCTTCTTTTGATGTTACTGTCCTAATTTCTCAGAAAGCCACAAGTCCTACTGGACTGGGCACTGTCCATCCAAACTAGTTTTTACATTAATCACCCCAAAAACCTTTTTTCCAGCTATAATTATATGGTGAGATACTGGGAATCAGGATCATATATGTAATAGATGAACACACACATACCATATTTTTCTTTTTGGTGGGGGGAGATGAGGCCTCTCTTTCATAGCCCAGCCTATGATGCTCTTGTTCCAGCCTCTTGAATGCTGGGATTTCATGTGTGCATCACCATACTTGGATGGCACGTCAATTTTGTTTATGGCAAAATTTGAATTGAGCCCCTCTAAGCACAAAGACTATCAAGTACATATTCAGGAAAGCTAAAATGAAAACAAATATTTATCTTCACACCCAACACTGTGTATGTGAAATTTTATTGTTAATTGGAACTCAAATTATAATAGTTATAGGATAAAGACATGCCCAGAGTTTTATAAGAAAATGAGAAAACTAGGATTTATATTAAGCCCGGATAATGACTAAAAAAATTAGCACTAGAAACAGAAAGAATGTTAGAAAATGCATTATCTTTGTAAATGTTTGCAAAGACCATCAAACAAAATTGCAAGGTATTAAAATAATTACCTAAAACTGATGATTTGCCAAGGCCAGCTGCCGTTGTAGCCACATACACGGAATGGACTAACAGTAAAGGTAGAGGTGAGCTCCAAAGGGGACCCTGAAGAAAAAAGTACACTCTCCTAGCTCACTGCACGTGAGCATGAGGGTCTAGCAGCATGCATTTTCATTGTTAGGAGAGATCTGGAGCAAAATGAGGAAGTAGGAACACTTCTTAACAAACCTGGGTTACACCCAGCAGTGTTGCAGTCAAGGTCTCATTTGAATAGAATCATTGATAGTCATCCTTTCATTGCTCAGCTCTCAGCCCTAAACATCACTTCAACTACCCGGAAGTCAGAAATCCTAACCATCAGCAGAAAAAAAGTCCAAGACGAAGGACTTAGGGTGAAATTCAAAACTCAACAGTTTTTACCTTTTAAAGATACTTTAATTTTGCGGTTATTGATGGATTAAAAAACACATTTTCAGCATTTCCTAGCTATAGTAGTGCATAGGAAATCTGGCTCTAAACAGAGAATTAATGAAATAACAACACACCTTACATCTTACACCGAAAGCTTACAGTTTACAAGGTGCTTTTACATACATTATTTCATTGGATTCTTACAACAAGCAGAAGGAAAGAAAAGCCAGTCGGTGGGAAAGGATAATCGTCTAGTTTTGGGCTTACAATGAGCACTTTTTTTTTTTTTTTTTTCAGACCAAGGGGCAATCAGTACGGGAACATACCAAGAACAAGACCGCAATACCCATGAGCCATGGTATCTTTTAGGTAGGTTGACAGTTTGATATCAAGTGTATATTTAGCATCAGTGAGGGAGTATGGAATGGGACAGACAAGGGTCTTATGATAGTCAAAGGATTTTCAGGCATTTTAAGAGGTAAGAGGAAGGATGCACAGAAGTGTATCACTGTACAGAAACCTACTTCAGAGTATGGTGTCCCTTAAGCGTATCAGATAGAGGGGACCTTGGGCTCACACGGGGAATCGAAAGGGAACCCAAAACGTGCCTGTCCAGCTCTCCTGCTGTTTGCAACTACATCACTGCAGTAAGTTTCACCATCAATCCAGGCTCCTTCCTGAACAATGCTATTTTCCCTTCCTTCCTTCCTTCCTTCCTTCCTTCCTTCCTTCCTTCCTTCCTTCCTTCCTTCCTTCCATTTTCTGGGCAAAAACATTTCTTCTGTTTTGTGTAATATAATTCGAGTAAAATACTGGTTTTTGCCACTGACTTATTTCAAGTTTTAAAGGAAATCCTTTTGGCTACACTGTGGCTAAAAATGGGAACTTTTGGTATGTTAAATATATTCTGATTTAGTGTACTTGATTAGTCAGAAACAGACCGACCCCTTAGACACATCTGACAGCTTGCTCACGTACTTCAAACAGACAGTGAAATGGATGGCCGAGAAGCCGCAGAAACCAATGTATGTCTAGGGGCCATCTACCTGGGCAGACTCTAGCTGGGTACTAATGATTTCATAGAAAAAAATATTTTTAGGATTCATAGAAATCTGTTCAATTTTGAAAACTAAAGTATAATAATCAAATTGTCATCCCCATGATTTATTGAAATAATTTTACAATAATATACAACAATGCTACCAGAGAATTTGTAGCATACATAAAACACAATGATTAGCATGTTCTTGGGTTTAAATGAAACACAAAAAAAAAACTAAATATTTTATACAAATGATGCTTTTAAGTTATTAACACAATGACATATCTTTGTTACATAAGACTTGCTACAGCAGAATATTTCAATTTTTCTTGCACATTTTAAATACAGGTGGACCAACTGAAATCATTATTTGTCTTTGTGGGACATTACCATGCAAAAACACTTGACAACCAAAAGACATGCAGATAGGTGGAGAGAAGGTCTCAGGTAGGACTTCTCAATGTCTTCAAGGGTTTAGTGAGGGCGGGTGCATATGAACAGGACTGGTGTCAATGACCTACCTGCACCAGTAAGGAAGCAGATTGAGGTTTATTTTTATATATATATATATATATATGTATGTATGTATATATATACACATTAGGGCTTGTTTGACTTAAAACAACCTTATATGCTTGCTCACAAAATGGAACATTTTAAACCATTTGAGTGAGTTGATAATTTAAGGTAGGCCACTGATACAGAGAGAAAATGAGATGGGAAAATTAAAAGCAAAGAAAAAATAGTAAAAAAAAAAAAAAAAAAAAGTTAACCCATTTATTCACAAGGGAACACTGAACTAGGTGTGCAAGAGTGCTTGAAATTTCCTCATGACGGCAACATTGTGAAGTCAATTGGCAAAGTATAAAAAAAACTAAGGAAACACAAATATCAAAACTGTATCTGCATGATCAAATACTCTGTCTACACAGAAAAAAAAAAAAGAGGTTAGAAATTCTAATGTATCTAAAGATATCACGCCTCAAAATTAAAATACAAACGTGGCAGTCTCTTAAGCTGTGCCTCCTCCCCCACTGCCTAGGCAGGGGATAAAAGTCGAAGTTTCCACAGTGTCCTCATTTTAATACGTCACAACAGTAAGCAACAGCAACTTCTTTTCTTCTTACCTGTTATGAACTGAAGCAAACAGACAACTTCCCTGAAAGGGCAGTACCTCTATGCTGTAAGTAGGGATCAAGGCTTTCACTGGCTTAGTATTTATCCAAATCCATGTTCCCTTTAGTTTTCTCGTTTCCCTTAAGAAACCGCCCATGAGACTATCTGAGAAATTTCACAATGTGTGACTTTAGCAGTCATGCTCTCCTAAAATACTGGCTAAAACCCTCATGGAAGAGTGAAGGCTTAGAAACCTCTGAACACTCTTCTAACCCACAGAGATGTTGGTACTCGAGAGATGGCCGGGCAAGGTGCCGCGTCCGTCCCCAGGTCTCTTGACTGAAGCATCTGTCTGGTCACTTAATTTCTCACAGAGAGAAGAATATTAAAAGGCAAAGGGAAATGAAGCGTCTGGTCCAGGAATCCAAACTGCTAGGCTAGCCACTCTGAATTTATTGCCACATCAGTGACTCCTGAAAAGTTATTATCTTTACTTATGCATATTCCCTTGGTGATAAGACATTCTATCTTCAAAAATTCTAAGAGTTTTGGCAAAACTGAGTCCGAGCTACTCAAAATAAAAATAACCGTTAGAGAGTTTATCTTCAAGCCACTGGTCAGCAAAAATATCGCTCAAAACTACAAAAAGCAACACGTAGCTTTCCTTTTAAATACCACACAGCCATAACACTGCCACCCGAAACACCGAGAAAATATAAAGTGGAGTACTGGTCAGAAAAGTTAATGGAAAGGATGCAGGGGGGTGGAGGAGAACAACCCAACAGTAGGAAAGTGGTGCACACTGTTATGGCACGGACGATGCTTGCGGAGCGGTGCCTTGGTCACAGGTGGTTGCACAGTGCACACTGATGATGCAATACGGACCTCACTCAGTGGCTGGAATGAAGGAACTTGGTAACTGCTTCAATGAGCAGGGCTCGGCTCCACCTTCCACCTCCACAGCGTGCAAAGACTAGTGTGAGCTCGAGGCCATCTTTCCCCTCCCTAAAATTCACAAAATTCTTTCCCACATTTTTCTGTTATAGAGACACGGATTTCTTCTTCTTCATAGTCATCGAAGTTGCTGGTGTCTCCAGAGCCTCTGAACTTTGGTATGAATGGGGCCTCAACCTACAATTGACATCAAGAGGAAACAGAAAGAGAACAGCTCCTCAGAGACTTGCAAGCACCGAGGACAATGAACCCCGCCCGCCTCATGCACTCACTCTGCATCTTTAAATGAGTCCTTGACGTGCAATGCACTAGAAGTTAGCTAGCATCTCACATTTTCATTTGAGAACTGCAACAAAATACTAATGAGGCTTCCAGGTTAATTAATCAGTGACCAGCATCAAAATTCTGGGTATATGTTTAGAACACTCTTTAGCATTTTATTTTATTTTTTGTCAATTTATTTCCAAAGTCTTTACTATTTTATTGTTCAAATTCCTTTCTACCAAGATTAGCCAATACATTTTATACATTTAAACTTTTCTAATTCCCAAGTGTACTTAAAGCCTCTGAATGTCAAAAGTCTAAGTAGAAATGACCTCACAGAATCACAGAACTGTCAAATTCCAACATTTCATTTCGACTCTGAAAATAAAATGTCTTTCCATATAATCTTATGGTGTACTAAATATGTGTGAGGATAAATTGAAAAGCTGAAATGATTGCTGCAATTTACATAGCAGATATTGGATTTATAATCACACACACTTGTTCCATCCTCCACCTCCACTTTAACAGACTGCAAGAAAAGCATCCCCATTACCACTTAAAATATTACAAAAGGGAGCTAACCAAATTCATGCCACTAGTGACTGAAGCCGGCATCAAACTGCCTAGGGATCTTTCTTCTTTGTGCAGCAGTTGCCTCGTTAACAATTTCCACTGCACCTCATTACTACATGTACAGCTATTTACTCATAAATTATTCCCATGAGTGACTATATCAACACATCATTGCTTATAGATAAAATATATACGTGAAAAATATAAAGATACTTGAAAAGAACAAGGTAAGAAATAAGTGTAAGTGGAAATTGTAATATCTTCTGTTTCCCAGTTAGCTCCCTGGCATGCTGTGCTTGGGACAGCATTTTATTGTATACAGAATGAGCCAAGCAGACAATTACTTCATTTCTAGGCAAATGGTGCTTTAGAATCAGACCATCTCTGGAGATTATTGTGAAGTATGTGTTGTCCAGTCCACTTCTTCAACACACGCACAGGCACATACACATGCACATGTGCGTGTGTGTGCGCGCGCGTGTGAATTTGGCTATTTCATTGTTCATAAACACTAGCCAGGGAACAAAAGGCTGTGAGCTATTGAAATTTACTGTCTTATTTTTGCACTGCTAAATGTGCAACTGAAAAGATATTGAAACTAATGCCTACGTTAAGGTGCTGATTATTCTTTGTAATTGCCGCCACTCCTCACCCCTGCATCTCTGATAAGGGAGACTCAGCTGTCCATCAAAGTGCTTCACCGTGCCCTGGCCTGTCAGCATGCTCCACCTCTGCTCTGGGTACTTAGCAGTTTACTATTCGGGATGACGGGATGAGTCAAGCTCTCTCTGAAACACATGAAGTCTAGACGGGCAGCAGCAATTCAGTTCCACGATTTTAGAAAGAGTACTAACTCCCGTGCAACATGAACACATTAGCATGTGTTTACTGAGTATTAGCACAAAACTACTATTTGTTTTTTTTTTTTGGTTTTGTTTTTCAAAACACGTTTTCTGTATGTAGCCCTGGCTGTCAACCAGGCTGGCCTTGAACTCAGGGATCTGCCTGCCTCTGCCTCCCAGGTGCTAGGGTTAAGGACATGTACCACCATGGCTGCTTTACACTTCAGAACTCTTTGAAATACTAACAAATCACAAACACATCCCAGAAATACATACAATTACAACAACGACTAACCATAAACACAATAGCAGAGACGATAGGAACAGTAATGGTAAGCAGTTGGCTGGAGAAAGTAAAGAAGGGCTTCTTCTGACATTTACAAGGAAGAAATACAGATAAATTCTGTATAAGAAAGTTCCAGTTATATGGGGAGCTTAAACAATTGCTGAGTGCCAGTAAATGGCTGAATAAACGTGGAAGCGTGTTCTGTTCAGAAACAGTCAAGTGTATAATAGTTTAGGACTAGTAAGGGCCTAGTCAAGGTCCCTCAACAATGCTACCACAGAAACAGGCTAATTACTGTACAACAATAAACAAGGAATTCTAGCTCTGACAGCTGGAAGGAGACGGTATCAACAGACCCTTGCAATGGCTCCGTGATGGGGCAGTGGGGTCGCCCACTGCAATGTGTACTAGCAGCACTTGTGAAAGAAGACTGAAGCTGGGATCTACGGCCACAGAAGAGACACAGTGACGAGGGACAAGGAACAGAGTGGGAAGACACCCAGTGTCAAAGAAGTCATGTCTGGGAGAGGAGGACTCAACATTTGTCTACACACCTAATTACCAGAGTATAAAAGGAGCCTGAACTAACTCTTCTAGTCTTTCTCAACACACTGAGCTTCCTGTTGTATTCTCTATCTTAACCTGCGCTTTTAAGAGTGATAAAGCTCATGTTTACATAGTTGAGACTATGTGCTTAAGATCATGCTGTCCTGGGCAGTTGCCTGACTCAGGCTCACATCTTCCTAGGAAGAGTTCAGCTCCCTCCACCACCCCTATCTCCTCCCACCCTCCCTCTCTCCTTCCTGTTGAATCAGCCTTCCCCCCTTCTCATAAAGATTCAAAGTTACAAATTAAACAGGTGATGTGCAATATCCGAATGTTTTATGAAACAATGTGTTGTTGTTCAACACCCTGTGTCTTCCTTTTAATAATAATGTTAGGAAAGAGCCCATTCCCCATGGAGGGAAACTCCCTTAGCCTAGAGACACTAGGCCCTACCCCAAATGACTTGACCGATTTTGATGACCCCTCATGGAAGGCCTCACCCTCCCTGGGGAGTGCTGGGGATGGGATGGGGGGTTGGTGGGGAGCATGGGAGATTGGGAGGGAAAGAGAATTGAGATCGATTTGTAAAAAAAAAAAAAAAAAAAATTAAAAGGGGGAAAATAAAATTCTCAAATAAGATGAAAAAAAAAAATAATGTTAGAAGGGATTTAAAAAGCCTGTACTGTGGTTCATACCTATAATCCCAGCACGGGGAAGCCATGTCCAGAGCATAGTTCCAAACCCTTGAGTTAGAGTGAGACTCTATCTCAAACAAACAAACAAACAAACACACAAAGAAACACACACACAAACACCATACAAAACCCAGGAAGAGGAGGCAGGCAGATTTTAAAGTAGTAGCGTGCTCAGATGTGAACCGGGTGAATCTGGGTTCAAACCCAGGAGCTAGAGCGAGCGCGGACCTTAAGGCAGCTATCTCAGTCAAATGAGAAACCGTAACAACAACAACAAACCCGCAAACCCAAAACACATTAATCCCACTTTTCATGGGCAAACTTCAAACTGGCGAGAGCCCGCTTAATAACTGCAAAGAACGGTGTAGAGGAGGCACAGAGCAGGTTTAAGGAGCTGGGGAGTCTACTTTCATCACCAGGGTCCTTATTTGTGACTACATAACAGGTGCTGAGCTACAGATGCCCAGAGCCGAGCTCCCTGGGACTGGCTCTGAGCTCTGGTACCCTGTGGGGCACAGCCGCTACACTGCCCTCACAATTTCAGCCTTGCTACGTTTTCTATTAGTTGAATCTTAGAATTCTTCCATAGCTTCATTTTGATAATCTTTGGAAATGTTAATGAATTAGGAAAACTGCTTTCAATATGAAACAGAGGATTAAATTCTCTCCCCTCAGGAAATGTGCTGTGGTTGCTCCTCATGAACTGCGGCAAACGTCAGAAACATCAGAAGCTGTGGGTTTTCTGGGGCTGGGGAGGGGAGAGCTAAATATATACATCTCGTGCAAGCTATTTTTAACTCAGCATTTAAGAGCGATGGAGTTAACAGAGCAAAATCTTCTCCTACGTTCCTCAATTTATTAGCACAGAGTAGCGCTGCTACTGTGGCTGCTAACTGGCTACCTGGGAAATAAAGCTAGTCTCTTTTGAATACACCGTCGGCCGGCTAGAGCTGCCCTCTATTTAATCGTGTGCCACACTAGTGCTACGTGGAGGGATGCTAACTACGTCAGCAATTCCTGAGTAGAATTTAGTCTCCCCCAATGAAGTCTTCAAATGGACAAGGGACAGCTGTATCTGGCCACACGCGGGCTACATGGGTCAGTGGCTCTTGCCAGAGACACGATATAAAACAAGGAAGATAAAGTTCCTGTTCTCACGAAATAGTCTAAAATGAGAGCAAGTGTATAAAATGCCAAGGAAGCACATGCTTCAGGGCAAACGGAACAGTGAGACGATAACGTAACTTTGAAGGATTGATTGTGTGGGGAGCTGAGAGGCCGACGTGAAGAGGGCTTAATGTGTGAGCCGGCGGCCAGGTCTGCCCGTGAAGACAGGAACAGTGGCAACCCTAGCAATGCCCACAGCAAGGCCAGGGTAAAACTGACAACATCCCATGGCTGAGGCCGACTCAGTGTCTGTCTGGTCATGTCCAGATTCTGGACTGTACTCGGTTATACGCCGTCTTTTAATGTGACGTTTAGCAGCTTTGAAATGCAAACCTGTAGAATATTGTCTAGAACCCAATTTCCACAGTATTGTCAAGAGTCAGCACAGGCTGGGAAAACTCGGGAAGTTTCTCTTTTACAGAGGAGAAGGAAAGAAGGCATTTGGAGAGAGATCCCGCAGAGGACTTGTTTAAAAGATAAAACCATTTTAACTGCTGAAGTTGAAAGCATCACAGCTCCAGGACCACCTCCTCAAAGGCTTCCGATTAAGAACAGAGGCTCACCTTTCTCTGGTAAATAGCAATCCAGTCCGTCGTGGCGAACCACTTGTGGGTTTTTATGTCACTCACGCCGTTCTTCAGGTTTCCGAATCGCTTGGTCAGATCCACCTGGAGCAAGTTCCGGAGAAGGTCCTTGAGGTCAGAACTGAAGTGGGATGGGAATCGGACCTGCACAGATACAGCATGTGGTGAAGAACATTCCAAATGGCTGGCGTCTGTTTTGATTTCATACAGGCTTTACAAGTGAGAGATCATCACACCAACAAAGAAGACAGAAGTGACATCCAAATGCTCTTTATGGCATGCCACAGTCTTAAAGGATGAAATCCATTTAGGTAAAGACCTGGAGTTCTCTGAGGGCCTTGTTTCAGTGGTGAACTCCCTTTAAGAACACAGAGCAGTGTCTAGACACTGAACACTTTCAGAAGGCTCATCTGTCTTCAGGAGGGAAGCCCTGCACCTCATAAACCTCTCAACTTAAACTTGTGATCTAAGTGGAGTAAGTGAAAACTCTCAGTAAGTGCATTCGGAGAGGAGGTCTACCAAGGAAGACTCTGAAAAGGGCCATAAACACTCACACTGCCTTTTCCGGCATAGGGATCCATTACATTTGTTAGAGAACCCTTTTAAGCAGAATTCTGCTATTGAGAAATAACACAGAAATGCCAGGAATAACTCAGAAGATGAAATATTAAAATGCAGATTTGGGGGGCTTGGGTGTGCTGCAGGCCCAGTTCCCAGGCATGGGAGAGGCAACTGAGATGTATGGTAATCAAATGGCTTGCTGAAGATGCACAGCGAGGAGGCAGAGTTGCAGTTCCAAACAGACATGTGGATCTCAGCACACACCCTGCTCATTGCTCTAACGCTCCCATGACTAGCAGACTAAAAACAGTATCTAAAAAGGTTAAAACTTCTCTGTAACTTTCATCTTCCTTACTAGAAACCACTGCTGCAAAATAAGGAACATCTACTCTCCACGTTTTAAAATGGGTTCATGGAAGAAACAACTTCTCACAGGAAACACAAAGGGAAAGGGTGGCAGTCCTGAAAAAAACAGATGCTGATGAGGATGGCAAGCAGAGGGAACCCTCACTTGCCATGGGTGGGAATGTAAATTAGCCAGCCACTATAGAACCAATCAAGAGGTTCCACACCACAAACAAAAACCACTGTTCAGCCCAGCATTATCACTCTTGGGTATTTGACCAGAAGAGCTCAAGTCAAGGTGTCACTGAGATCCCCGAGCATCCGTATATGCTGAGCACTCATGTCCATCAGCAGATGGCACATAAACTACACATATGTAAGTGTATATGAGATGAGAGAATTGACCCTGAGGCTAGGAAGGAGACCGAGAAAGACAAAGGTACGAGGGTGTGCACATGGGTAGAGAGCAAGATACTTGTTTGTTCGAAGCCCATCACATGGTACAAATAATATTTGTTATAAAAATAATGGCATTTTCTCCCCATGGTTACACTGGATCAGATTTTCCAGCACTGCATCTAAACATGCTTAGATTCAAAGAATGACTTATTTCAAGTGGCTGTGACTGGGCTTAGAGTGGAATTTGCATGACGTGTACAGAGGTAAAGTGCCAGTGATGCTGTCCATGATGCTCACAATTGCAGACAGCAATGCACTGCACACAAATGATTTCCTGAATTCGGCCAATGTACAATAGAATGCAAGCATCCAAACAAAGTAGTTCTTTATTCTGCAGCTCGAACAGAGTGGTAGTCCTGATTAGTCGACATGGGCAAATGTGTGTGTGTATTCATGTTTCAGAACAGTGGCTCTCAAATGGGCAGTGGTGGTGGTCTGAGAAACTGAGCCATATTTAATTGGGAACTTTCCCCATTGTAGATATACTCCCATTGCCAAATCACATCCTCTTCTCTAAAGATGTTTACAGGTAGCCCATATCTTCCATGGTCCATGCTAATCGTGGCACAATAACCTGGATTCAACAATAGTTTCTATGAACAGGAAGAATGACTAACTTTTCCTTCAAAAACTGTATCAAAAGGAGAATGACTTCTGTCATTATCATCAAATAAAAACACTTTAGTACGTGGAACACTGGAGAGTATTTATGACCTTTCTGACAGTGTGCAACAGGGTAGACAATGCTGACGTAGCTGTACAGAAGCAGATGCTGAAATGGAGAAGTCTAAATCCAGCAGTCTATCGAAGCTGGGATGAGGTTACTGGAAACCGGCCTGGAAAAGGCATCTGCTATGTGACATATGCCTCCCTGAGGGCTTGCTTCTATTTTCCTTAATTTACCTTCCTGTGATTCCTTCCCAACCTTGAGACCATGTTAATTATGCGTTTCCTCGTCATGCACTGCTCAGGTAAACTACGGATCTGTAGAGTAAGCTCACCGTAGATTATGAGCATCAGAATTGTCTGCAACGTTGAAATGCACAGAGGACCTATTCAGTGCCCTTAGGGTGAGGCAGCAAAGATGGAAACCACAGCATTCGTGCAGAGATCACAACTGATAGGCTGTATCCAACATACAAACCTGGCCTGACCATCTACACTGACCTTAATAAGTGGATGAATTTGAATCCACTCTTAATGTAAATCTACTATGTGCTAGGCAGTGATGTGCTTGGGACATACAGGAAACAAAGTAAAACAGAGACCTGCCTTCATGGAAATTTTATTCTGAGAAAGACATGATAAATAATGAGTGCAATTAGAATGATCTAAAAATGTGACATCATTCCTCACGTAGCAACATTGTTTATCACTGAAGAATATGGAGAAAACCAATGGAAAGCTTTTATAGATTTAAGAAATCATTTTTTGTTGCTTTTTGTTTATTTGTTTGTTTTTATTTCTGGAGATTGAGCCTCAAGCATGCTGAGCCTGAGTGTAGCCACTCACTGCAGCCTCAGCCATCCATCTCAAGGTTCTGTAGGAGTGGCGGATGGGGCTTATTCAGGAACCACTCTAGTGACTCAGGTGATGGCAGTTGGCTGGCCATGGAGACAGTGAAAAGCATCTTCAAAGGCAGAGCCAACATGTTTTCCCTGTGTGTTGGACGCGGGACCTCAATCTCTCGAGGCTCAAGGATGACAGGACACCTACCACCACACCTGATCAAACCTCCTCAGCAGAAATAGCTTCCAACTTCCAGCCTCCACTTGATTAATGCATACTCTGTGACCTATGGAAGACCATTTTCAATCTCAATTTACCCACTTAGAATATGAGGGAATATATTTTACTTGACAGTATGAAAGTTTACATAACATTTATGAAAATGTTTTGGCTTTTATCTTATTATAGTGTTGCATTTCCCATCTTTTCAGTCTTTCTATTAGAATACCATTTCAATATTCTTGGCTGAAAGAATTTTAATCAAGGAAGCAGCTTAAGATAGGAAGTCTATAATCTGTTTCTAAAATATCTTAGTCTATGTTGAAAGTTTGACAGAATGGATGACTCTAGCATTGTTTTAGAGGAACTGTGCATACAGCTAATATCATAAACGACTTTATCATATTACATTATATAACATGTGAAACTCAGTCTGAGCTGGGCAGAGTGATAAATCACACTGCTTTCAGCACCAGTTACAGGCTCATGCATTTCAATTTTCGGATAACTTATTTTCTACAAATTTAAACGTATGCATTTATTTCTCAAAAATGAAGCCACATCCAAAAAAGTAAACCAATGTACATTGTTATGGCATCCATGATTTAAATTCACTAACTCGCTTTCCTGCCACTCCCCTCATTTAGCAATAAAATAAGACAATTTGTCTCCACTGAGCTTAATTACAGAAGTTATAAAACTGATTTCTGGCTGATGGAGGGAAACTCTTGTTAATATTCTTCAGTTATTGGCATGGGGGAAATAGTATATAACTAGTAACAATTTTTATGTACTGGAATAAACTCACCAGGTTCAAATTGATTCAAAAAGAGTTTGAATATTATGTCAAGTGGTACTCTATTAACTTCTGGTCACAGCATACTGGAATACATTTTAAGAAACCATTTTTCTAAGAGAACTATTACATTTTCAGTAAAGGAATTTCCTAGCCAAAAGAAAATGCTGTACATTAATTATATTTTCTAAAGATAAAACATTTTCATTCAGTAGGCCTTCTATAAATTGTCAACATTCACACTAGTTCTCAGGGGAACACTCATCAGCCTGCATTCCATAAGTGAAAAGAGAGCTGAGGCATTAAAATACATTTATAAGAACTGTCTCTAAGGGAAACATAACAAATCCAGATGGGTGCCGAGTTCTACATTCACTGTGTTCCCAGCAGTGGTAGAATCATCTGCTCAACAAGCCAAGTAAGACTCATCTGGAAGCAGGTGTCCATATGATTACTAAATCACCAGCACAAAATGTTAAAAATGGCCCCAGGTTTTATGAAAATAGCACAACTGCTTTTGTATTTCATGAACACGACATTTATTGGCTTGGGGACACAGCTCAGTTGGCCAAGTTCTTGTCTACAATGCACGAAGCCCTAGGTCTCATCCTAGCGCCTCAGTATAAAACTGGTCTTCCTGGCACAAACACTCAGGAGGCAGAGACTCAGGAGGATTAGAATTTCAAAATCTTGTTTACCTACACGGTGAGCTTGAGGCCAGCCTTCAACACATGAGATCCAGTAAAAAGAAACATGTGAATACTTCTAGGTCAATTTAACTATAGCTAAAGCCAAGCAGAAAATGACATTTTAATTTCCTAAAAGAGCAGTAACAAAGATAGCTTAGACAAACACGTAGTGGTGTATTTATATATGTGTTTATTGTTTAGGATGCAGGATGAATGCAGAAAAGACAGCATAGTAGGCCTGAGAACACTGGCCTTACAGATGGCTGCTTCCAAGGTCCATGTCTGTCAGAGATCTGAACCTTGAGTGATGTGCCGGTTCCTTACACTATGTGAAACTTTCCCTGAACAAGTGTGGCTCACCATGTACAGATCTATAGCTCACATGGTTTATCTGAATGTGTGCTTACATTGTGAGAGGTCAGGACTTTGCTCTGTGGTAAGTAGATGGTGTGTGGATGATGAGCTGGCAATAAAAACACTGGGCACTGAGTCTTTCAAGGCTGTCACTGGCATGTAACATTCTCTACATGTGCCTTTTAGTGACTTGATGCTGGGGTAGTTAAATT